AGTGGTACTTATTTCCAATGCTGTTTTCAACATGGATAACATACAACATCATAAACATAAGAAGATGTGGTATTATTGCCAAAGAAACAACTCTCCACCTAAGACCTAAAGAAGTAAAAAAAAACAATAATAGCCTATAAGGTCACGTTATGGCCTTCAACATGGAGCCTTGACTCACATTTTCATTCATTTCAATTTAAAATCATGTATAAAACTATTTTAACTTTATTTATTTGCTTTTCAGATCTTTGAGATAAATCAACTGAGTATGAACAGTGGAGTAGACAGCAGAATGAACTTTAAAATGTTTTTAATTTGTTTAAATAAATGATTTATGGTTTGATTCTTGAATAGTGGTTTAATTATTAGTATTGTCATACATTAATCATGTTAATGTGTTTTATACTTTACTTTCAAAAGTGTTGATTTAATAAGCTCTTGAAAAAAAATTGTTGAAAACAGTTGATCAATAAAGTCACCATCTGACATAGCCAAGAGTATCATAACTGTACATATTAAATGAGCAACCTTTGACCAAAGTACAAAGTCAGTTCAAGTGAGCCTAATTAACAATACTCCTAAATACCAACAGTAAACAATATGTTCCCCTAAATACTGTGAGTAACTCATTAAGTGTCTGTTTACCATCAGGCTAAGCTAACTCTTGCAGTGCACCGGATAGTTTTATTGGGTTAAAAGTATGTCGGTTAAAAGCTCATTAGAGCTTATGTTGTCTCTGTTTGTATACCTTGCCGACTCTAAAATAAAGCTTATTTATTGGGTTTGAGTTGTTATTTAAGGTTTGTTCTTTTCTTGTTATTTATCTTGATTTCTACTCTCCCTTTTGGATTTGCGAATTAGTGCACCTTTATTTTTCTTGCATTCTATAGTTGTCACTTTGATCTGATAGATCTCAGATAGTTTTGGTTATGAGCTTGTGACTTCATTATTAGCTGAACAATAATGAACATGAACCCCTGCATGCATTCAAGAATTAAGTTTATATCAAAATAAACATAATGGATCAAACTCTTTGTGTTCAGATGTTACACCAGATTTCCTGTTTTATTTCAGTAAGTTACTTGACATTGTGTCAATATAACAACCAAAAGACGGTAGTGTTGTGAGCAATATAAGCATTCAATCATAATTTGGTAAAATGAAAAATAACCATCAGTTACCTAGACAATAGTAGAAAAAAAATGCTTAATAAAAATGATTTTGAAAAAGGTTAAATTTAAACACTATTCGTCAATATAACCTACATGTAAGATATGGTATACAAGATTTATAGTCATCTTCTTCATTTAGAAGATTAAGCTGTATTGGATAAGTTTTCCCCTACTTAAAAAATCAGCTAGTGTTGCCCCCCCTGTTTTTTGAGTGGCCTGTTTTAAAATTAAGGCAGAAAAACTATCAAAAAGGGTTATTGTCAAAATAACATACATTGAATTTGGATTTAATTATGTCAACGAAGATCTGGGTTTACAACAACTACATAAAATATTTCATTTGAAATATAATAATTATGTTTACAAATATAATTGCTGTTCAAAAAACGTTTTACACAAGTTACTAGAAGAAAACTTTATTTTGGACATCTATAACATACTGATCTTGCTCAGAGCACTGACATTTCAGAACATCAGGGATATCTCTGTGAATTGGTCTATGATATAATGATGTTGAAAGATATTATGTGCAGCTAAGTATTGATACATTTCATTAATCCCATAAGAAACTATTTAAAACAAAAGATTGCACTATTGTCAATATAACTTACACAAAATATACAAGGAAGGTCAATTTTACAAAAACATAGCAAGACCATGGATTTCAAATAAAAAGAGGTAGTAAGATACAGATGGTTGCTAACAAAATAATGTGAATTGATAGAGATATCAAAAACTTCAATTTTATATCCTAATGTCACACTTTCCAGACCACCTTTATGGCTTTACCCATATATTAACAAAACGCATTTGACTAGCAGGTCGAACAACTGATGTTCTTAAACCCTGCTGACTGCCATTGGCGATTGCCAAATAAACGGATCACAAGATGTAACAAAATGGATCTTATTATTAATTTATTATTAAACAGAAAACAATAAACTTGCGGAAAAAGATGGTATACCGCAAACATGAGGTGCAAGAAACGGTATTTGGAAGGCCAAATAACTTACCTCAATTTAGGATAGACTCTTGAATTTTAAAGAGTCGAAATAGGTTGAACGGATCATATAAACCAGAAGGAAAATATAATACAATTATACAAGCCCGAACGAAAAAATATAAACAAGTCTAAATTGAAAACAACGTTCAAACCTATGATTGCGTTGGATAAAAACCGCAATTTTTATACGTGTGCATGCAAAACAAATTTCTTGGTAGAGGGGTCTAAATACAGTATATATGTAGGACTCAAATCTATGGTGGGTTCCAAATCTATGGCAGATTCCTAATCTATGGCAAATATGACGTCATGCCATCCCAAATCTATGGCAGATTTTTTACAATCCTAATCTATGGCAAGTTTTGTAATATCCTGATCTATGGCGGATTTTTGTTGTTTCCAAATCTATGGCAGATTTATGCAAATGAAAAACAATGCAGTACATATACGACCAATGACTTGTCTTAAACAAGTTGAAATGTACGACAACGGGAGTATGTCTATAAACTTTAGTGATAAACATTCCATAATGGTCAACCAAATCGTGATAGCAACCATGAAATATTGTAAACGATGAAATATACCTTAATACATAAAAATAAACATTTTCTAATCTGTGCATGGTACCTGTTTAACCCATTCATTAAACAACTTTATATAGTAAGTCTTTTAACAAACAAGAAACACAGTTATTTTCATAAAAAAAATGAACAGTTTGACTTTTCACATGATATTTATTTCATCATTAAAACATCTATTTTATTTGATGACGATTTAAATCAAATTATTATCCAGTAATTTGATATTTCACTTTTATCAACTTTGCTAGCTGTAGACGCTAAAATATACTATAACTCCTTTTTCTAAAATTTCAGGCAATGAAAACAGCGGTGCCCTTATTAATAGCGGGATTCGGCCGGTACAGCACATTTTGTCCCTCTTCCGGATAATAGGTAACATCTTGTCACAAATTGTGCAAATTGTTGTAGAGGGAAACATCTTTACCTTTATCTGGAATTGGATTCAAATCTATGGGATCTGCCATCGTTACAGGGAGCAAGCATTTAACTTCAAGGGGGGTTATGGTGTTTTTTTCTGAGTCAGCAATTTTTTTATTTAGTGTTGTGACGCTATATCAATCAAATTTTTTTTCAAAATTTAACACTATAAGGTATGGGGAAAATGTAGATTCAGAATATTTTTTTTTTTCATCAAATAGGGGATCAGAAATTTTTTTTTTAGGAAAAAACCATACCCCCCCCCCCCCCTTTTTTTGAACTTAAATGGTCGTTCCCTTAGTGGCGGCGACGATGTAATATGGCGTTATTCAACTGTGACGCTATATGTCACTCTTTTTCCTGGAAAATTATGCAATTTCAAGATATGCCATAGATTAGGAGAAAACAAAAATCAGCCATAGATCTGATTTGTCTGGCTATTGTAACGTCACATTTGCCATAGATTAGGAATCTGCCATAGATTTGGAACCCGCCATAGATTTGAGTCCTACATACATGACATATATATATATGTTAATTCTGTATGAAACAATGTTCAAGCTAGCCATAATTTCTTGTTTCTTTTAATGAGTATTCCTTCTCTTTTTCAAGCTACCAGTTTTCTATAAGTTTGGCAGTTAATTTAATGATCTTTAATGAGTTTGATACATTAAATTGTAGCAACAATTAATATGGACCCTAAAGAGGCTACTATTTACAGTCACAGTTTGAGTATCAAACATATTACTGTTCTGTCATTTTACCAACAGGTATGATGAGTTTTTTGGCAAAAAAAAACTATTTCATAAATTTTAATAAAGTCAAAGAGTTACTCCCTATATTTTTGCCCATTTTAAAATTCTTGTGCTGGAAATTATCAATTTATGTTCATTCATAGTAATATTTTGAAGTTAAAAATTGATAACAAAATATTATAAATTAATGGATGTACATGTAATTCAATCAAAAATGAAATTCTGTATAAATACAGAAATAAAACATTGTAAATGAGAGGTAATATCTGATATGATATTTGAATCTGAATTTGAATAAGGGAGCATCCTTTTAACTTCAATGGGGGGGGGGTTATGGTTTTTTGTCTGTCAAGAGTCAAAAAAAAAATCGCCCACTTTTTAAAAGTTTTTCAACGCTATCAATCAAATTATTTCTTTCAAAATTTAACACTATAAGGTTGAGGGAAAATCTGGGTTCAGAATATTTTTTTTGTCATCTGCTTGACCACAAATTTTTTTTTCATCAAATTGGGGATCACAATATTTTTTTAGGAAAAAAACATAACCCCCCCCCCCCCCCCCCTCTTCTTCCAGTAAGCGGCCACCGTCAACTGGTTGACTATCCTGCCACATTATTGGAGTGCGTGCATGAAAACAATTTTTAAATTTAGTAACAAAGTTAAATGGTCATTCCCCCAAAGCCAAGGACTGAAAAATATAAATATCAATAATTTAACACACTAAAAAAAATATTTCATTATACTAAACAGAATTAAACCAATTTTAAGCCTCCAGACTCTACCAGACTGTACCGACTCTGTTTAGTAAGACCATCCGATACCCCAGTTCGTTCGCAAAACATTAAAATCAACAGACTATAACCAAAATAATAAAAAAAATTACCAGCCAACAACGTAATGATTATTTCTGAACTGTTTAAAATTTTGAGAGGACGATTTTTAATGGAAACCCGTCAAATATATATTTACATTCTGAGGTTGTAAATAAACGCTCAGAATTAGAAAATTTTCTTGCAGATTCGTCTGCAAATACGAAATATGCAGGCTTATAGGTGCAAATATCGGACTTGTACCTGTGTTTTGGCTTTGTCGGACATCAATTTGATCCGCTCAATGGCAGGAACCAAATCGAAAGCTTTTATGCTCATCTTTTTTGCTTTGTTTTTATCTTAAAATGTGAAATGTTATTGTAAAATTGTATATTCCGATAAACTGGAAAATTTTCATGGACAGCGCCATATTGGATAGCAGCACCACCAACAATTTCCGGAAAATACACCCACTTTAAATCAAGGGTACATAACTTTTTTCGCGCGTTTTTTCCCTTTTCTTTTAAAAATACCCCCATAATATATATATATTTTCAACAACGTATATTTTTATTTGTGCAATTGACGCACATTTTTAGCATATAAACTTACTTAAATCGAAAAGAATGAAAAAATGCAAGCCTTTTTCTTTCGTTGTGTTTATTTTTCTCAATCTAGATTTCACGGTTATGAAGGCATATATTTATCATATATATATCTTTTTATTTATATCACCTTTTCATTCAAATCCATATCCATAAGTAAGCGTCAATAAATAAGCTTTATTCAGAGTCAGCATAGTATACAAACAAGAACATAATATAAGCTCAATTGAGCCTTTAACCGGAAAAAATCCAAGACCATGCAAATAAAGGAAACACTGCATGTAACAACAGATGAAACCTAGTTGTTGATAACAGATTCGATAAAATGTCATTAGTAACATGGTTGAACCCCCTCCCCCCCAGCCAAACCCCAAAAACGATTCTTAAAAAGTGAGGCGTGCCAATTTCAGAAGTTTTTCTGCACTAGCAGGAGAAGATTTTTAATTTAGACAATATTCCACTTTTGATGAAATCGCCGAACTAAGAACAAACTCTGGCATGTCATATACTCATTATGATACACAAAAAGAAATAGGCTAGGGCAGACGATATATAAAACACAGATATTCTAGTCTGTCTGCACGGCAAAATGCCGGCATATTTGAGTTAAGTCTAATTTAGTTGGCCAAAATTATACGGTGTAGTTAAGACGTCAGTTTATCTACTAGCATGATGTTCCATTGATATTAATACTTGAGAAAATTTCAGTTGAAGAAATATGTATAATTTGTTAAAATCTAAAGATTGTCTTCTAGAATCATAGGTGTTCTTTAGCTGGCCATGGCATTTTTCGTTTTATTCGGATTTCCGACGATTGGTTTTGACCAACACTGATGAGAAGTTATAATTTTGGAAATGCTGTATAAAATTAATTTCGGTTTTATTGTTTGTCAGCGTCAATTTCAAGAAGACATCCAGGTATGGATGAGACCTTCTTGTTTCTATAATATCATAAATTTTAAGCCGATAACAAGAATATAACAGATGTTTAACTAAGATAACAAGAATATAACAGATGTTAACTAAGATAACAAGAATATAACTAAGATAACAAGAATATACCAAATATTTAACTAAGATAACAAGCATATACCAGATGTTTAACTAAGATAACAAGCATATACCAGATGTTTAACTAAGATAACAAGAATATAACAGATGTTTAACTAAGATAACAAGCATATACCAAATATTTAACTAAGATAACAAGCATATACCAGATGTTTAACTAAGATAACAAGGATATAACAGATGTTTAACTAAGATAACAAGCATATAACAGATGTTTAACTAAGATAACAAGAATATAACAGATGTTTAACTAAGATAACAAGCATATACCAGATGTTTAACTAAGATAACAAGAATATAACAGATGTTTAACTAAGATAACAAGCATATACCAGATGTTTAACTAAGATAACAAGAATATAACAGATGTTTAACTAAGATAACAAGCATATACCAAATATTTAACTAAGATAACAAGCATATACCAGATGTTTAACTAAGATAACAAGAATATAACAGATGTTTAACTAAGATAACAAGCATATGCCAGATGTTTAACTAAGATAATAAGAATATAACAGATGTTTAACTAAGATAACAAGAATATAACAGATGTTAACTAAGATAACAAGGATACAACAGATGTTAACTAAGATAACAAAGTTTGCCCACGCATTAAATAATAGAGATATGCACCAAGCCATCAGGTATAGCGCATTCTCTGTGTTCGTTGATATTCGGGCATTGGGATATAAGCGTATGCTATGCTTTCCTTGAACACAACACGTGATTCTTAAACAATCTTCATAGCTATAAATAAATAAGCTTTATTTAGAGTCGGCATAGTATACAAATAAGGACATAACATAAGCTCTAATGAGCTTTCAACCGACATCAGGTACGCTCGAAACTAATATATAATTTGAGGATACAGCCAGTGCTGACGAACAAATGAATGGACGAAAAGACACAACTACCATGACACACACCCGCTACATTAAGTATTGTAAAACTGTTTTAAATGGAAAAGAACGAAGTGATTTAGAGTAAATCTCACCAAAGCTAACCGAGATATTGCATGATCATCATGATTGTATACAGGGACATTTAAGACATCTGTGTATGATGTCACCATGATTTTATACAGGGACATTTAAGACATCTGTCTATGATGTCAACATGATTTTATACAGGGACATTTAAGTCATATGTCTGTGATGTCTTCATGATTTTATATAGGGACATTCAAGTCATCTGTCTGTGATGTCATCATGATTTTATACAGGGACATTTAAGACATCTGTCTGTGATGACATCATGATTTTATACATGGACATTTAAGTCATCTGTCTGTGATGACATCATGATTTTATACATGGACATTTAAGTCATCTGTCTATGATGCCATCATGATTTTATACATGGACATTTAAGACATCTGTCTGTGATGCCATCATGATTTTATACAGGGACATTTAAGATATCTGTCTGTGATGTCATCATGATTTTATACAGAGACATTTAAGACATCTGTCTATGATGCCAACATAGTTTTATACAGGGACATTTAAGACATATGTCTGTGATGTCAAAAAGGATTTCCTTTCTATTTATTAAACATCGACATGCGTTCAAACAAATAGCAGTAAAGCAGTATGCTAATTCCGGTAGTTGTATTTTTGAACTAATAGTGTAATTTGGAGTACAAGTTTTCTAATAGACGGACGGCATACCGATCTAAGATTTAAAGATTTGTAACTGTGTTCATAAAGCAGATTTAATATCATGGTCAATTAGGTAAATGTTTTAAATATTACTACTACTCCTTAGATGCAGTGCTTTCTTTAGATATAAGCCATTTTAAAAGATGACCTTAGGTTGATCCATTCAAACTGAGACTACTCTAACGAGTGTTATAGTAGTCTCAGATTCAAATGACAAAAAAATCAAGGACACAAAAGACTCAATACAACATAATCTGCTTCTTCCATCAATTGACTATTAGAATGAATCTGAAAAAAGGACACCACAGACACACCAAATTCTACATCTATACACGAAACGATAAAGACAATAACAAAGTTTCCATCTATTTTTTCAAAATGATTCACTCTTCATTGGATGCTGTCGCGAAACAAATGGCTAAAAACATTTAGGACATGGGACTTTTCAAATTCTTAGTCGAGGTAATTTAACAACGCCATGACAAACAACGAAAGACGATGAAAAGACAAACAAGTTCACAAAACACTACCTACAAAACTAAAGACTGAGCAACACGGCCACCACTCAAAACTGGCGTTGATCTTAGGTGCTTTGGGATGGTAAGCAGATCCTGCTCCACTAGTGGCCGTGACCCGTTGTGTTGCTCATGGTAAGTACAAATTCGATGACGAGTCTCACTCGATGATGTCCCATGCAATCTAGGAAATTGTGGTTTCGACAATTGGAACATATCTTTTGTCATTTGTAATTTTTTAATAGCGTACTGAGAAATAGCTCATTCAAGACATTATACACAATGCATTGGTATCAACACTAGGAAACATTAAAGGCTCAATCACTAACTCATGGACCACTATGATGTGAATGACTTAAAAAGTTGAACACACGTTTCTCATGATACTGCCTGTTCTATTATTTGTTTTGTGTCTTTATTGACTTTCAAAATTTGGTAAATAAGAGATGCTAACTTTTCTACAACACCCAATATCCTTACCCGTATTAGTAGATTTCACACACCCCAAGCTTTAGTAATTGTTGTTGCTGATATTTTTATTTTCTGTTGTGAATATGTTTTGGGCATAAAACTTGATCTTTTTTGTTGTTGTCTAGTTCTTACTCTTCTAAATGAATATCAAACTGCTTTTCTCTAAACCTCAAATGAATATCAATAAGCACCATATAAGCACTTCACATTCTAACAGCTCATAGCTTAAACAATAACTAGTACAAAACATTAGAATATAGTATATTATTAAAATCCAGTGGATTTGCAATTGTGGTTTGAAGTATAGGAAATCCCTTGCTTACCACTATTCTTTTCTTCACTTTCCTATTTCAGTAGTAGAAAATACCAGTAGGCAATTAAAAGCATAAGTCGAAAAGATTGACAACACCGTAGCTAAAACAAAGAAAGACATATCACAAACAACTTCACATCAGAAACTGAATAAAAAATCAAGCAAAACGATCCCCACCAAATAGAAGATGACCTCGGGTTTTCTTATGGATAGAATAAAAACAGTGATACATTGTATATATTCTGTGCAATAGAATCGAAGAGAGGAGGACAGAATTTTGGATCTAAGACAAGTGGAAAAGGAATATCTTAGTCGACAGTTTTTTTGTTTTACACGTTCCAATATGAAACTTATTGATAATAACCAAGCCAGCGGATTCGGTTTAAGAACTACAATGAACCAGTACAAGATTGTAGTTGAGCTAGACTATACCAGGAAGCCCAGGGACTTTGATTTGAACAGATGTTTGAATCATCAACAATAGTCGGTGTATGTTATATTGACGAGTTTGAATGACGAACGAAAGGGATGTGTTATGTATTTCTTAATGTAAAATATCTATTGGAAAAAAAATATAGCTATCCCCAAATCGTACACCTTCACATTCGGTAGTTGCATTGACGTGTATTGGATAGAATTTACAACAAAAACGAACAACAACAATCACACAAGTAATTCAAGGAAATATGTCTGCTGGGTGGATTTACCACACCATTATTAACCTAAATTCTTATAATATTGAAAATGTCAAAGGGAAATTGCTACTTGGTATGCGATGTGACCTTTAATGTGAAGCCATTATTTCGATCTATGAAATAAGAATTTACTTAACGCCTTAGATGGAAGAATATTTGAACTATACATGTTACATAACAGAAAATAATGCTTTCTTCTTCGTTTGCTGATCTTGTTGGTATATCATATACAATCTGTACTAAATTTGACTTTCCAAAACGTTCTTGTGGTAAATAAATCTTTTTCAAAATACATTTCGCTTCTTTATTTTCAAATTTGAATGTACATATTACCAAAATATAGCAGATATAAGATATGATTGTTGGTGTTCATTTATGTTTACCATTTGAAATCATCATCCTCAGCATCGAAAGATACTGATAGATTTTTCTTCCGGATAGACTGACGAGGTCTTGCATTACTGAGTGATGAGTAATCTGGTGGTGGAGATTCCTTTTCTTGTGGTCTCCATTTTGGTTGAATTATTGGCAACATAGAAGACAGTTTACATCTTTTAAGAAATGACATATCACTTTCCTCAAGTGAATCTTCTTTTTCCATAACTCCAAAATTGTTTATTTTTTTAAGTGGATAAAAATTATCTTCATTGAGCAAATATGATTTAATTTGATACTCATGTAACTTCTTGTCCATGTAACTGTCACTTTTAGAACTGAAAGTATCATGAACACGACTTAAGTCATACGGTACAGATTTATATTCTTTATAATCATATTCATGAATAGAACTCTCTGGTCCACCAATAGGAATTAGTTCTACATTTGTGTTTCTTCGTGTATGTTTTAAGGATTTCACTTCTTCGTGCTGCTCTCTTGTTATATAATTTGGTTTAAATTCTTTATACACGTGTTCATGAAAGTTGTCGTAGGAACGATGTTTTTCGTATAATTCATGTACTTTTTCGTATTCATGAACTCTATTATACTCTTGTATATTTTTATTTACGCGCAAATGTCCATTAAATGTAAAAATTTCATATTCAGGTAACCTTCTCGCAACATTGTCAAAAATCTGTCGCTCTGGTCCAACCGGATACTGGGATATTCTAGGTCCTTTTCTCTCCATTTCCTGCAAATAACATTTTAAGATCAAGTAACTTCATGAGGAAATATTACTACAAATAACATAAACTTCTTTCTTTTAGGAAGTGGGGCGGGTGAGAAAACTTGAACAAAACTTTCTGGAGCGGGGCGGTTGGGAAAACAACAAGATTCTAAAGGAGCGGGGCGGGTGAGAAAACATGAACAATACTTTTAGGGAGTGGGGCGGGTGAGAAAACATGAACAAGACTTTTAGGGAGTGGGGCGGGTTAGAAAACATGAACAAGACTTTTAGGGAGTGGGGCGGGTTAGAAAACATGAACAAGACTTTCAGGGAGTGGGGCGGGTTAGAAAACATGAACAAGACTTTTGAGGAGTGGGTCGGGTGAGAAAACATGAAAAAGATTTTAAGGGAGTAGGGCGGGTTAGAAAACATGAACAAGACTTTTGAGGAGTGGGGCGGTTGTGAAAACCTGATGAACAAGACTTTTAGGGAGTGTGGCGGGTAAGAAAACATTAACAAGACTTTTAGGGAGGGGGGGGGGGGCGTGTGAGAAAACACGAACAAGGATTTTAGGGAGTGGGGCGGGTGAATAAACACGAACAAGACTTTTAAGGAGTGGGGCGGATGAGAAAACATTAACAAGACTTTTAGGGATTGGGGAGGGTGAGAAAACATGAACAAGACAGATACAAAATAACCCGCTTTTTAATGTTTGAATCTTATATGCCTTAACCAGAATAATCAATCCAGTCACTCCTCTAAATCGGTCACTCCTACTAATCGATCTCTCCTACTTGTAGCCATTGCGTAGAGCACTAGAATATAATATATATATATAACTGAATTATTCGGGTTAACATAGTCTAAGCTTACAAGCACTAGAATATAACGACTGGATTATTCGGGTAAACATAGCCTAAGCCTACAAACTCCAGAATATAGCGACTGAATTATTCGAGTTAACAAAGCCTAGGCTTACAAGCTCCAGAATATAACGACTGAATTATTCGGGGTATCAAAGCCTAAGCTTACAAGCACTAGAATATAACGACTGAATTATTCGGGTCAACATAGCCTAAGCTTACAAACTCCAGAATATAACGACTGAATTATCTGGGTTAACAGAGCCTAAGCTACCATTGATTGATTGATTGTTGGTTGCTTAACGTCCAGTGGCAAATATTTCATGCATACTAAGCTACCAAGGCAAACTCCATATTTACTGAATAGTTTAAAAAGGATAAAATGATTTTTGAATTAGTTTGATCATTTCGTAATAAAACTTTCTCTTTTTTTCTTCATTTTTACGAATGCAGAGTGTAGTAGTTTTGTAAGGGCTCATGCACAGATACATTATTATACATAAAAAGATATCGACTGTATAGTGCCATAAATTGACAGCCATTAAATAAGTAAAGAGAAGTTATGAAGGTATTTTCATGTGAAAAATAAGTAAAAAAGGAATACATATGTACGTGTATATTTTCTTTACTGACAAAAGCAGAAATTTAAGAAATAATATCACTCTATGTAATACTTACAAGACAAATACTGAAATTAACTCCAGTTACATAATGAAGTGACACAAAACAATATAGAATATATTTTAATGAATTGATCAATGACTCAATTGATTGAAACTTTTTTGTTAATTTCTCAAATTACCTATTGATTTGCCTTGGTATTGGTATCATTGTTATACACATAATATCTCAAATTACAAGTATACATAAAGCAAGTTATTAAAACAATACATAACCAATATAAACAATACAAACATTAATGTTTGTACTGTTGTCAATAATTCATATTACTTTTAATCTACATATCAAATATAGACTTGACATTAGTGGAAAGGGAAACAAAAACGGTGAACTAACTTGCAAATGCATGCAATGTTGATAGTGTAAAGCCTTATTTTGTAGATGAAATACTTGCTGTAAAAAGTTTCTGCATCTCTATTGAATATAGTCATTACATTTTCTGTTTACAGTTTCTGTCTATCTAGTTTTCAAGACATAACGCAAAAACGTTAAAATTGGTCAAAATTGTCATCTATAAGGAGTTGTCTGACAATTTTTGTAGATAAATTTTGACCCACTGAGCGACAAATTTGGTACCAAGATTAACTTTTCTGTCAAACGACTATAATTTTCTTGATATAAGACAATTACATGTTTTTTCACTCGCATGCACTATTTTTATCTTGGAGGTCATTGTTTGCTTGATAGCGGGATCATCGAGTTTTATTATTACAGTGGACTCCCTGAACGAGATGCAGGTCAAGTTGGTTCCAATTAACCTGGTAGTTTCAGAAGATCCGATATTTTTAAAAGCTTATAAAGGATGATAGACGGCAAGTGATGGTAGCTGGAAGCTGGCACTGATCCATTGGGTAATGCGAGCTAAAAACAAAAACAAAAACGCAAGATCTTATTTATATACATGTAATTGAAAGAGTTAAAGTTCTGACGAGGAGAAATATAAGAACCCTTTAAAGTGCAAGGGAAATTAAAAAAAAACATTTGGAAACATTCTTAAATAAGAGTACACTCGCACAATAGTCTCGCCTGCTTTACTGGTCACGATGGATTTTTCATGTTGAAAGTCTTCAAAATTAAGGTATTACTACGTGTATCACGAAAACTAATTAAATGAAAATGAGAGAATTGTTCGACGATGCATGCAAGTACAACTAAAAAATCTTTCTATAAACCGAATATAATTGATCTACTAGTATTACTTATAGTATCTGAGGGACGAACCTCATTACAAAAACGTATCGTTGACCAAAAAATCATGAAAATGAAGTCAAGGTCAGAGGAACCTTGTCCGACTGGAAGGTTCATCTTACAATCAATCTATACACGTAATATTAGTTATTACTTAGAGTATATGAGAAACAGACCTTTTCCCAAAAACCTAACGGTAGGCAAATGACGATGATAGTAAGGTCAAGGTCAAATTATCCTACACATAAGAAATCTACACATAACCGTCATTCTATACACCGAACAATAATAGACTACTTTCGAGGTCATTGCATTTCCGTCAAAAACTTTGGTTTTAGAGAACATCAATCGACAGTCGTGCGTTTAGTGGCATCGTCACTTCCTTCCCATGTTGAGCGAGCGGTCGAAAAAATATGATGCTATATTGATAATATTGCACGAGTTATTCGGCAAATTAAATTCTTATAATTGATAATCAGTACAGCTGTCATTATGGAATTGTGATTAAATACCTACGGAACAAAAATTATTTCTAGTTTATCCTGCATAATGACGGTCAGGAAGACGCTTGATGAACTTTAATGTCTTTAATAGTGCAGGGATACAGGCGGTCCCCTCTATCTGGTAAATGACGCCATACAGGCCACAAAATTGATGAACTTTTCCGGTGCAGGACATATCTAGAAAGTGGTCTATTGACCTAGAGTAATTATAGAATCAGAAAAATGGACGTTATCACTACCCGAACTCTCCTTCCTTCTGAAGTATGTAGCGTCATACAAAATGTTTACACCGTCAGATTAGTAACTAACAAGGAGAAGACTATCAAACCATAAATATAGGAAGAACCGACAACACCATTGCCGAAAAGAAAATAAAAATACAAAAGTCCACAAAACATTACACATTAAAAGGTTGATAAACACAGAATTCTCTAAAACCGACAGTCATCGAACTCAGAGCTAAGAGTGACCACGCATATCACACGAATTCAAATAAGATTCTATATATATCAGAATACAAAATACGTTCATTAAGGCGAAGTGTACTTTATTTGGCGTTTTTTTTCTTTTTAAATATTGAAATTTAAAAAAAAATGGAATTCGTTGAACTGCATCTGAATATCGATTATCTAGGGAAATTAACATTGGAAGAAACATCCACAATAAAAAGAAATGGCCTGGGTATATTTCATATCTTATTCAAAGTGCAGATATATCAAATAACTCTAAAATTCTAACTTTGTTGGCCATGTCGCTTTTACATGTGAGGCCATCATTAAAAGTTTATGTTGAAGTTGCAAGTCCAGGCCTTGCAGGTGTGGTTAGGGGAATTAATGTTAACCAACAGCATAGAACATTAAACTTGCTCAGGTAAGAACATTTATTTCTGTTTTGTCCGGTGTTATCATTTACTTGTCATTTTGGCATATCGAACAGACCTAGAGACTATTCATCTCGTGGCGGTCGATTTATGGTGTGAAATCTTGTTTTAGTTTGAATTTAAATTTAATTTGGGGTTCAATTATTTGTTTCAGGGGTTTTTCCATGCAGTTTTATGCTCAGTTTTGAAGCGGCAGCGTTTAAATGGCCAGCCAACGTACGTCCCATTTATTGACACAGATCTACCAAAATAACAGTTACGAAAGTTAATCATCGTATCATACAACGGCCAGTAATTATGTTATGTGGCAGAAATATGTATTTTGCGTATAAGGAAGTTGGTGTTAATTTGGCGGAAACTGGTGTTTGATTTACCGGAAGTTGGTGTAAATTGATTGGTAGTTCCGTTAATTTGAAAAACCAGAAGATAATGGTGAAGTATAAATTGCCGGGGGTATTAAAGTGTAAATGCATCGACCGTGAAAGGGCTGTATAGCCAGTCAAGGTCGTTAAAAACTTCCATATATATGTGTAAATGCTGTTTGTATTCGTGATCCGATATATATATATATATATATATATACACATTTAAAGGTTGGTCATTGAAAATGTGATGATTATATCAACCGGAAGTGTCATGTCAGTAGAAAGCTGTGAAATTAGTGCAATGTTAAATGAAGTGAATATATGGTGAGCCATACATCTTAAAGAAGTTGATAGTGTTATATTTCAAAGTCACTATTAAGTCAGTGAAAGGTTTAGTAAAGTGAAATTTAGATTTATTCGATTTGAAAGTATTTGAAGTTCCAAGTACCGAAACGTCCTATATAGATCTTGACCGAAATCAAAGTGTATGGTAGTAGCTGTGATGAGACATTTTGCTGATTTGTTTTAAAGTTTTACTAACTAATGTTTGAATTTTGACTTTGTTTGTTTGTAATCATTCTTTCATTTGCATATCCATTGATTTGTGTTCATTTGCATGTTGTAATTGTGTTTAGATTTGTTTGATTTTTGTTCAGTTTAGTTTTAGTAAAATATTATATTTACTTTTGTTTCTATGGATGTTGGCCGACTGACAATACGATCATTATCCTACGTCTTTACAATGGTGGCAGCGGTTGTTTCCTTCTTCGAAAACAACAAAACATCTAAATACAAAGTATTACAGACAATGAAACTGGATTAAATTGATTATATCTCAAAATGTATCAGAATTCTATGTAAAACCAAGAACGTCAAACAATTTCATAGTGTCTAAATTTAAGGGATTCAGTACAGTGTAACTATAGCGACTCAAGGTGTTGAGAGTAGTTTCCTCTGCATTTTGTTTTTCTTACAGGGTAAAAAACTGAAATCCAAGTGAATTTCCATGAAGATCTTGATAAAAATACCCAAATAGGTAATAAATTTATTGAAACTGATCCTACCTCTGTCTGGAAAATATAAGACTAGTCAAATATTATATTGTAATGTTTATTAACAAAATTAAAATGTTGATCTTTTTAATGAATAGATATTGCTACGTATTAGAAGATCTATAGACTGAAAAGGGTCTTCCAAATTAGACGGCCTTTGTGGATTTTCTCCCGTCACTTTATTTTCGTTATGTTTATATTCCTTAGACGGACGATTGCGTGGTGAAAATGATGAAATCTTTGGTTTAAGATCAAATCTTGTCTGCTTTACAACCGGTAAAATTAACCGCGGTTTTGTTATTTTAGCTATAAACACATCACTAGAATTCAAACTTGCTCGACGTTTCTGAGATCGCTTTTTAGGAGGTAACGGTTCCTTGGTTTTAGTATGCATTACAACTGGTAGAACCACGGGAAGCACTGGCATTGTTTTATCCGTCTTTCTAACCGAAACTTTATCATCCGTTTGCTTTTGAGGGGATTTAGGTTTCTCCTGGTTCTTGAGGGAAGGCTTTTTAATAATTTTTCTCTTAGTTTCACTGTCATTTTGTTTACTATCGTCGAATAAGTCATTGTTTCCCTCAAACAAGTCGACCTTTTTAAATGGATCGTAATTTTGCTTGTTCAGTTTATAAGATTTCGGTCTTTCATATTCACGTGTCTTCTGTTGTATTGGATCTTCTAACTGAACGTCTAGTGCATTGCGGTAAGAACTTAAGTTATAAGGTTTAGGTTTGTATTCCATGACGAACTTTATATCTAGCTGTCCATAATAAATAAAAACGAACTTATTATTTCATCTTAAACTTTCTTGTTTTAAACAGTCATAGTAAGTCTTGTTGCAACTAATAGTATAAAATTTCCAGAATATCATCCAAAAAATGTGCAATGTCTTTTAAGATTAGCTCCAAAATGTATCTTAGTTCTTAACTAATAGGTGACACGAAATCACTTTTAATTCGTGTTAAAAAAAATCCAATAAATGCATACGTGCGTTCACGTCTTGCAATCAGTTTAAAAATCGTAAATGTTCGCTAAATCTATGACGTTTAAAAGCATGTCATATCGATTAGGGAACT